GGGACATTTATTCTCAATGTCTGTCTGTACTGACCTTTCCCCCGAAAGACACTCAGATCCTTAGAACAAGGATTCCATTGTGTGCCAGGTAGTAGCACACATGTGATCTCATGGCTCCCTTCTGGAGTTGGTCTGCTTTGGAATTTATAGCAAGAAGATATCACAAATCCCTTTACTAGCCAACCCAAAGGCAGGGCTGGTCATCTGTGAGGGAAGAATGTGTGGTTAACTATGCGAGGTAATAAAGGAAAATTTTCCTGTTGAAAGCTTTATTCACCACATGCCTGTCATTGGGGTCTCATAAATTCTTTGTGGACTAGGGGCTGGCAAACCGTGACCAATGGCCTCTATGGCCCAATGCTTGTTTTGTAGATATAGTTTTAATGCCACAGGCATACCTATCCATTAACTTCCTGTCTTTGGCTACTCTTGTGCTGCAACGGCAGAGTTGGATATTTGTGACAAAAACTTTATAGCCTGCAAAGCCAAAAATAGTTACTCTCTGCCATTTATTGGTAAAGTTTGTTAACCTTGGTGTTAGAGACACATTCCTTTGGGTTTATTATCCAGTTGAAGCGTAATTATTGGTGAAGGATTTGGGTTACTTATGGGTGGAGGAAACTGTAGGGAATATGAATTCTCTTAGGAAAAGATGAGGCACAAAAGGCTTCTTATTTTTATTATGATTTGTCTTCTCCCTGTTGTATATTAAGATGGGATATCTGCCCCACGTGTCTTTTGTTCCCCATTATTTCTCAATACCGCCATTATTATTCAGTTGACTCAACTGGTTCAGGGCCCTCAGAATAAATTTTTCTCATATGGAGTTGGTAAGTCACAGTGAACAGAGCTGAGCTGCTTTTGAATTTCAGCAATGTCACTTGATAGTGATAAAAACCTGTGCAATTTACTTAATTCTTCTAAGCACCAGTTTTCTCATACTATTATTGTCAATTACAAACTGCTGTAGAAATTGTTCTGAGTTTTAAATATAATAACATATAATTGAAGAAATAACTTCATGAAGAATGGGAAAATATATAACAGAATTGAGAAGAAAGAATATTCAAACATATCGTACCATAGACATGAAAATTAACTAATTGTAAAGCTTAGAGATGAAAAAATACAACCACTAAAATTAATAAATCCTCTTAATTGAATATTATACTAATATTAAAAAATGAATTAGATTCAGATGTAAAAACATGAATTAAAAAAATAATATTGAGTTAAAAATGCTGAACGATATATAATTTATGCTGATTTTTTTGCATAAAGTTTGACAAGTAAAACAATACTACATATTTTTATTGATTTTATTGATTTATATTGTATACATCAATATGAAATAAGAAAATACATATGATATTTCCTAACTTAAAAGTAAATAATCAGAATCAGTGGCAGAAAGCTCTCGTCTCTTAATGTTTTTTTCAAACATTTTATTTGGTTGAGTTGGTTAGTGTTGGAGGAATGGATTGTTTATGAATTGGAAGGGCCACTGAGCTGAGTGTGAAGAGACCTGATGATTTGTCTGAGTTCTGTCAATACCAGGGGAATGTTTGGTAGTGGCTGGTAACAATTAGGATTCTTAAGTGCCTTACTGTTTATAAAGAATTCCACA